TTTTTTTTTTTTTTTGGTGGTGGTACTAGGAATGGAACCTAGGGCCTCTGCATTGATCTAACCCCCCTCCCTTATTTTCTGAGCCACTGACACAGGGTGTTACTAAGTTGCCCAGGCTGGGCTCAAATTTATCATCCTCTCAGAGTGCTGGGATTACAGATTTGTGCCACAACACCCAGCTTGATTTGAGTAATTTTGAAGAATATCAAAAGGCTGGTGGGAGCATTAAATAAACCTTCCCAACACCTAACTCAGCACTGGTACATGCCTGGTACATCCATTGCCAGGCACACTTCTGTTGCTTCCCCACTTCCCACAGGGCAAGAGGACTCAGAAGTCCCTGGCCGCCTGTCCCTGGCCACCAGGCTCGGCAGAAGCTGGGAGTCTCACATCGAGTGAATGGCAGAGTGGCTCAGCCAGCTGCAGCCTCTTTATTAACACTCTTGTGAGGCTCCGTGGGGCTGTTCATCCTCAAGGCCAGCCTCAGGCCATCTGCTCTGCCAGTGAGTCACCAGGGACTCTGGGACTCCAAGCCCGAATCTTCTGCTTCACTGGTTTCTGCCACTCAGGCCTGACCATCCCAAGGCCTGGGGATGAGCAAGGCTCTGTCATCCATGATGAGGCCAGCATCAGGTGGAAGCAGGTAGAGAGAACTTCTCAGGTAAACTGAGAACAGCATCAAAGGCTTCCACCCAGTCATCTGTGAATATTTACAGAGGGCCTTGCGTGGGTTGGCATTTTTAATATGGGGGGCTTTTAAAATTGCCAGACATTTTCTTTTGGTGTTGGGGTTTGAACACAGGACCTCATAATGCTGAGCATGCATTTTACCACCGAGCTCACACCTCATTTTATTGAGTTATGTGTGGTAAGAAATAATACAGAGACCCCATGCCCACTAGGCCCAATGTCCCCAGTGGTAGCTTCTTAAAAAACCTGCATGATATCACTCCTGGGATGACAGTGACACAGCCAGTCTTACTCAGACCCCTTGTTTCACATGCAGGTGTGTCTGTGTGTGCACGCACATGTGTTCAGGGCTCTACAACTTGATCTCATAGAAGGAGTCACGTATCCATCACTGCAACAAGATGCACAAACACCCTACCCACAAAGGTCCCTCCTCCTGCCTCCCCCCCTTAACAATTGTTCTGCAGCTCTAAAACACTGTTGTTTCTGATTGTGTCGCACACAGCGTGCAGCCTGTGGAGCAATTCTCCCGAGATCCACCCACATCGTGGTATATCATAAGAGTCGGTGTCCTTTAACGGCCGTGAGCTCCACAGTACAGATGACCACATCTGGGATGTTTCCAGTTTGGGGCTCTCACCAGTAAAGAAGCGAGGAACACTGAGGCACAAGTTTTTGTTTGAGCATAAATTCTCATCTCCCTGGGACAAAGGGCTGAGAGTGCACTTGCTGGGCTGTGTGGTGGCCACATGTGAACTTTCCAGAGGACCTGCCAAGCTGTCCTCCTCTCTCTCTACATCCTCACCAGCATTTGGCCTTGTCATTTTTTATTTCAGCTGTGCACATAGGCAATACAGGGGTGCTCCTTACCTGCATTTCCATGACAACGGTGTTGAGCATCACTTCCGGTGCTCATTCACATCAAAGTGCCCCCTGTTGAGCCCTTCTATTGGACAGCTTGCTCTGTTGCTGTGGGGCTAGGAGTTGGGGTCTCTTGGTGACAGGCTCTGTGATGGGAAGAGAGGGTGATGCATGGCAGATACATGCCGCTATCAGAGCTGGCATCTGAGGTGGAGACACAGGGGAACAAATGTCCAGGTCAGGGAGTAGCAGGTATCCAGGCAGTGCCCGGAGAACCAGCAGAGGGAGGGAGGGGGTGGGCGGGTGAGATGGAGTCTGACCTGAAGAACAGGGGTCTGAGTGGGAGCAGGAGGAGATTTGATTCATGACCAAGCCTCCTCCCTGCTGCAGCACAGTTTCCCCCAGTGAGGGCACAGTGGGCTCCTCTTAGGTCCCTCCCTCAGAGCCTGCAAGCCTCCTGAGGCAGGAAGAGGGTGCTGGGGTGGCCATTTAACATCCCTGGCAGCTCTGTCAGACCCTGTCCCAGACAGACGGGTGTCAAATATTCATGAGGTGACCAGGCAGTCACTCTGCCCTCCTCTACCTCCCCAACAGCCCATGCCGCCCAGTCCAGGGCTGAGTTGCCCCCACCTTGGCCCATCACCTTTTCTCTCCTGTCTCTTTAGAGCCCACCACCTTCCTCACGGAGAGGGGTTGTCCCCAGCCCTGGGCCTCTAGCCAGACAGAGGGACAGACCCTGGTCTTGCGACACCACCCACCCTGCCCCTCCACAGGAAGAAAAGGACCTTGGTCCAGGAGGGACCCAGGACTTTGAACAGCTACTGTGGACATTTTAGGGGACTTGGGAGCCCCCTGAGCAGATACCTCTCCTGGGACCTGGCACCGTGGACAATCACCAAGTTACCAAGGGTTCCCAGGCTTTGGGATCAGAAGACGTGGACTGAGGGGCCTGTGGCACAGCCCCAGACTTCTCATGAACTAGTTTCCTTATCTGTAAGATGGGGTGGTCCTGCTCTCTGTGAGGGAGGTGACCGTGAGATGACTCATGGATCACATGCACTGCGGGGTCCCAGCCTGCGGGGCTGGGGGAAAGAACCACTGTGGGACAGAGCCAGGAACGCTCGCAGGGTCTCTCCCACAAGAAGCCCAGCCCTGGGGCTGAGAGAGAGTCCCTGTGTCCATCCTAGGCCCCTCCAGGGCAGCCCCTGCCAGCCAATGCCAGCACTGTTCTAGGCACAGGGATCCCAACAAATAGCTCCGGCCCTCAGTTTCTCCTTCTGGCAATTCTTCACTCACCCAGTGCAGAGCTTCAGCAAGGAATTCAGGAAACAATGAAGAGCCAGCTCCTGTCTCTCCCTTACCCGCTCCTTGAGCAAATGAAGATTTCATTCATTGAGGCCATTTGTCTGCTGAGTAAAATCTTTAATAATGGAGGAGGTGCCGCTCCAACCCAGCCTGGATAGGGTGTGTGTGTGTGTGTGTGTGTGTGTGTGTGTGTGTGTGTACCTGTATGTATGTGTGTACGCGTGTGAATGTGGACACAAGTGTACGTGCACAGGACACATCTGTGGGGTGCCCCCAGCGTTCCCCACTTTTTTTTCCATCAGGATGATCAGCCAGACCCTTGCTGCAGCTCTGGATACCCCGAAGCCCCGCATGCCAGACAAGCCTGGGAGAAAGAAGAACGGTGGGGTGCTGCTGGGGTGTGTCAGGGAGGTAGGGTAACAGCTGGGAGCCGGAGGGCTGGCAGCTGCTACCTGGGGAGACACAGAAGCAGGGCTCAGGGGTTTGGTGCTGCCCAGCCTAGGAGACTGCTGAAGGAAAGCTGAGCAGGAGGGAGACTAGCCTTGCAGCACACACATGAACAGGTTCTCTAGGGCCTATAATCCAATGAAGGCCCAGGAGGATTCCCCGCTAAATGGAGCCTGCATGAGGCAGCAGAGCACTCCACAGGTTTGGGGACATTCGTTGGCCTTTTCTCCATGCCCAGGTCCCGCAGAAGATGGGATGAGAAAGTGCGTAAAGGTCAGCAGGGAGCAGGTGGACAGCCAAAAGACTGGCTCTGACTTTGACCTTGACTCTGGAGACAGTGACTTCAAAGAGATAACGGGGAGATGAAGCTGTTATCACTCCAAACAGCCCAGCACTTTTCCAGACTGTGAGACCTCACAATCCAGAAAGACATCAGGACCCAAATGTGCCACAGATAGAACAAGCCCGGGCTACCTGTGGGCCATGACCTGGGCCACACCTGTTGCAAGGTTGTCCAGGTGGAAAAACAGGGCATAAAGGAGGCAAACGAGACACAGCAGATGCCTGGAGTGGCCACCATGGCTGATCCCTGGCAAGGAACCCTCCAGCTGCCAGCTTGAGAATGACGGGAAATGTGGGAACCATGGTTCAGAGGTCTATAATCATGTTCTAGGAGAACAGATCTTATTGCTCTAGAACCCCTCCTGCTCTTTCTGAGCTGATCACAGCTCAAACTCTGGTCTCTCCATCTCCTAACTCCCACCTGCAGCCCCCTCCATCCCCACAGTTCCTCCCACCAGGCATTCAAGCTGTTTCCAGAGCACTCTCTTGGGGAATGAGATGCTGTGACCCTGTGTGGATCCACATGGGCTCAGAGGCTCTCCCTGTTCCCACTGCAGGAGGTAACAAAGGCAGCAGATGGCAGCCTCCTGGGAGACCCTGGGCACATGCCGCTGAGCAGGAAGGAGGGCATCAAATGGCAGAGGCCGAGATTCACCCGCCAGGCCCTGATGCAGTGCTGCTTGGTCAAGTGGATCCTGTCCAGCACAGCCCCACAGGGCTCAGGTAAGGCTGTGTAGCCAGGGCCATGGGAGGGGTACAGTTCTGTCCTGAGCTCTGCCCCTTCTAAGGCCTTGGAGGGGTGCCTACTGGGTCTTGCCAGGGGAGCCCACAGGCTGATGCTGCTGTCTGGGGTGTTTCTGAGGGAGCTGGCAGCAGTGGCTCTCCTGGGCTTGGTCATGTTTGGTGTTTACCAGTGTGACAGAGCAGGAAGGGCTCCATGGTCTCTCACACCTTTTACACTCTACCTGTGCACCTATCCAAGTGTGCACACACAGACACACATCTCACATACTTGCCTGCTACTCATGCTGCATAATCACACACACCCCCACACCACACATGGGGCCTCAACACAAGGTGTGTATGTGTGTGTGCGTGTGTGTGTGTGTGTGTGTCTGCCTCCAGCTTTAAGGAAGAGCTGCATGCTTGGCCTTCAAAGCTCATCATATTTGCTGGCTTGGACACCCCAGCTGTGTGATTTCCAGGGCTTCTCCTGTCCACCAAAAGGACAGAGTCCCAGGCTCCCAGGTTCAAGGGGTCACAGGTGCACACTAAGACTCCAGTTGTGACTGGCACACCCCACGATTCCAGCATCTCCCCTTTCCCGCAGAGCCTCTACCCATTGGCTGCCTTGTCGCCCGTCCCTGGGTTCTGAAGGTGGCAGAAGCTTGCTGCATGTTCTACAGGAGAATGGAAGATTTGCCATCAGGGTGGGAAAGAAGACCAGAAGGGAGCCGTGGCATTCTGGTGTGGCAGGTCCATGTCCTCCGGGGTCTTCCTGGTGATGGAGTATTCCAGGGACCCTGGAGCAGAGCTCCCTTCCTTCCCTCAGATCTCGAGGACAACTCACCTCACCACTCTGTCCCTCTGATGTCCAGGCAGTAGCAGCTCAGGGTGGGGCTGGGGTTGCTGTGTCCCCTCGCCAAGGAGATATGCGTAGTGTGACAGAAGCCACCTTGCTGAGTGTAGGTAGACAGGGAGAAACACAGCCAGAGAGAGACAAGGCGTATCCAGGTCACCAAGGGCCTGCCCAGCTCAGGGTAGCTTCCTAGAAAAGCTTTGTCATATTAGAGTCTTGTCAAAGGCACCTCCTAGAGGGCAGGGCCAGGACTGTATGGGTGACCAGCCCAGCCTTGTGCATCCCTTGAATGGACGCATTTACCAGACCTCAGACCAGGCCACAAGCGCAGATGTGAGGAGCAGAAGAATGAAAGTCTATCTGACAGTATGGAGGAGGCATTGCAGGTCATCTCACCCCATTTTATTTAAGAGCCTGTGCACCATAGGAGAGATCCATGGTCAGCAGGCTACCCAGGGGTTGGGGCCTTAAAAGAGCTCAGAGCTGGAGCAAGCAGGTTGTGTGTCTCCCAGGGCCTCACAGAGCAAGCAGCCAAAACCCGGACGTGCTCTTCCCTTCCCAGACGCAGCTCCTGGGCCTCATTCCTCAGGCATATTCCCAAGGGTCCCTCAAGGAGGACTCTGCCAGTGTAGCCACCCAGGGCTCCATGCACGTGTGAAATACTGGCCATGCAGACAAGGTGTCTCTGTGTCTCAGGGTGCCAAGAACAATGGAGGTCATTCAGCACAGTGTCCCCACATGCTGAATAGAGGCTGGGCCACCAGATACTGTAGCCTTGTTGTTGGATTTTTCTATTCAGCAGGCATCCGGCCAGGGAGACAGATGTCTGGGTTGGCTGAGAATGAAGCCAAGGCCCAGTGCAGTGTCCAAGGCCTGGGCAAACTGGGACCTCAGCAATGAGTGGGCGGGCAGGACTCAGGAGCCTGGAGAGGTGCGGGCAAGGGCTGGACCTATGTGGCAGTGAAGGTCCCAAGATGGAGACAGAGATGGCACAAGAGGTGGGCACAGAGGGCAGGCAGGGTGGCCTAGCACCCCTAGGAGACACACCCTCTCCTCAGTCCAGGACCCTCCTATTCATTTGTGTCACCCAGGCTGGGCGGGTTCGCAGAAACTCTGGAGGACCAAGAGACCAAATGTGACAAAGCCAGGTTTCCAGAGAGATGCCACATATGCTCTGCTGCTCTGGCCCAGATGCATCTGTGTGACACAGCACCACCATCCCTGGAACGGGAGATACACCTGCCTGTAGTCGAGACCTACAGTCGCCCAGCCAACGCACCCTTTCCTGGGAGGCCCCATTCTTCCTAGGGTCCATCCACCCCATGCAGAGTCAGGATGTCACCACCATGGCAACCCTGATAGGGACAGTGGTGGCAGAAAGGTACAGGCACAGAAAGGTGACACAGTGAACAGTAATGGAATCTCAGTGTGTGGGCAGCACCCAGCTACCCCTGATGTGATGTCTATTCCAGGTGGGGTGTCAGACCAGGCACAAATGCCCACAGGCTTTCGCTGAGCAGTCACTGTCGCCACAAATACACAGGTGGACAGAGGTGGCCTAGGCTGGATGATTTGTGAGAAGTTTCTCTGGGAAGGGGTACTGTCTGTCCCCCGAGTCAAAGGGGGATTCTTGGTCACTTTTTGTTACTTAACACAATACCCAAAATGTGATGCCTTAAAATAACAGCTTTTTTATATCTGTCACTTCCGTGGGTAGGGACTTGAACAGGCCTTGTTTGGGTGGCTCTTCTACTCCACAGTAAATTGTGACCGTTTACTGTTGAGCAGAGGGGAGGAAAAATAGAATCCACTGTCCTGCGTGTCATGGCGAGAAAGCTTGGCTGTCTTTAACCCATTCCGGGGCACTGGCTCGAAGCCCAGGCTGCTGAATCCAAACGCTCCTTAGAGGTGTGTCTCCACCTTGCAGGCGTGGGGACAGCGTGGGGACAATGGGGCTCTAAGTGGGGGCCTTTGGCCAACCTCTCTGCTGGGAATGAGACCTGCACTCAGCCACAGTGATGCGTGGGACAACGTGGGCAGTGGCTGCTGTGGCCGTGACAGGACAGGTAGGCAGGGAGGTTCACATCCAGACATGTGTCAATCCCAGTGGGGAGGAACGACGGGTCCCTCCGGGATGGAAGGGCTGCAGTGAAGCCGATCTGCCACCTGCTGGCCAGAGGGGTGCTCGACAACAAGCGGTGGCCCGATTGGCGGGGGGGGGGGATGAGCTTCCTGAGTCTGTACGTGACCTAAAACAAATGACATTTTTCTTATGAGCAAGTGCAGGGTTGGCCAGTACAGGAGGCCACCTGGCAAGCACAGCACAGGCCATCGGGTCTGCTTGATTTCTGGCACCTCCGCATGTGGCCTGGGCGCCCTGAAAGAGCAATTCGTGGACCCTGGTAGTATTGCCGCCCAGTGACTTCATTACCTTTCCTCGAATCTTGTCCTTTGTGCCCCTGACCCCTGATCAAATGGTCAACAGCTCCCCAAGATCAGTGTACTTCCGGGACCCTCTTCCAAAGCGAGAAGTAGGAACACAGCATCCCGCCAACAGAGGGCACCCCTGCTCCATGTCCTTCCCTGGAGTGGCCTCCCCGTCTGCACCTCTATCCATAAAGCTTTGGGTGAATTATCCCCCTCAGTCCCAGGGGCTTCCCCCTAGCCACAGGGAGGGGCCATGCAGCAGGTACCGCAAGAGTCAGCACCCGCAGGAGTCAGCACCTGCTCACACAGCCTGCCTGTGCTTTCTGGCCCACAATTGGCACTCATGGCCACACACAACTTACAGGGTTGTTTTCTTGGCTGAATGTACCCATTGAGCTCAGAAGGACTTAGCAAGTGGCCAGGCACATACTAGATGATCCATAAATGTGGGGGCAGGGAAGGAAGTGGGGTCAACAGGCTTTCCCTTTTCCTTCTCATTATAGGGACCACCCCACCTCCTCATCCTCTACTCTAGAGAGACATCCCGCAGGGCTGGGGATGGGGTCAGAGAAAGCCAGAACCCCAGGCCCCACCCTGCCCTGTTCTGCCCAGAGCCTGGCCCTGTGTCTCCCAGGTAGAGCTGTGAGAGGAGGCTGCTTCTCACTGGCTGCAGAGGCCTGCGGACCTGTGAGGCCCCTTTGCAGTGAGATCACACCCCAAGCTGGAAATCACACCAGCATCAGCTCCTCCCAGTGCTGGGGCTGATGCCCACCCCGCTCACCCACAGGCCTGGTCCAGAAAGCTGCTGGGCTCGAAGCAGAGGGCTCTGGGTCCTGGGGTTCAGGAGCAGGGCCAGGAGAAGCAGGGGGTCCAGACAGAGGGCGAGGGGCCAGGAGGCAGATAGAGAGAGGCCAAGACACAGGCTGAGACAGAGGACAGAGCAAGAGTGGGCAAAAGGAGGGGAGGTTCCAGAAAGAGAAGGGCTCCAAGTGTCAGGCCAGGGAGGGGCCAAGGGAGGCCACTTACACTGTGACCTGAGGACAGAGCCCAGCTGAGCAGGGATGGCAGGACATGGCGAGGGTCACCACCGGCAGCTGCAGGAGGGCCAGCACAGCTGCCAGAAGCACCTGGGCGACATCATCAGCTTCTTCTTCCGCTTCATCTCTGGGAACCTGGCTCGAGGTGAGGGCAGCTCGGGTGGCCACGGGTGGCACAGGGAGAGACTGCAGGCTGACAATGGCACCTGCCTGTCTGGGCTGGGGATTGCCAGGGCAGTGCGCTGGGAACAGGACTTGTGGGACAGACGGCAACCACCCTCACAGTGCATGGCAAACGCCCGACCTGAGGGTTTAGAAGGGAGGCTGGGGAGCACCCCCAGTTTTGTGCTCCCCATCTCAGTGCTGGGGAGGAGCCAGGTATGGGGTGATGCCACAGCAGGCCGCTTCCACTCCCCACTTCTGCTCTGGCTCCTCCATTGCCCACCCAGGGCTGCACAGAACCAAGACCAAGGCTCCACTCGGGGGCACAGGCGAGGATTCTGCTTGTGGGGACCTAGGACAGAGCATGTCAAGAACTTCAGACCCAGAAAGGGGTGAGCGCCAGCAGCTGGGACCTGGCTAAGCTTCTCACCTCTTTTGTGTATCTGGAATCTGGAGGGCACCGAGGGGTGACCTGCTAACAGCTGGGGGGCTGGGCCAGGAGAGCCTGACCTGTCCCTTCTCCGGAGCTGGGGACTGTGTCCTCCACCCTGTTCCCTGTCCTGCCCAGAGCACCTAGCACAGAATGTGACCATGAAATACCTGTCAGACTGATGAACAACAAGGTAAGAACAGAAATATAACATTGAGCACGAAATGGCAATGGTTTAAAACTCCTGGACAGCGATCCTAAGTGTCTAGGGACAAAAGCACAGGATTCCACTATGACCTAGGATGGCAGAGGAAGGTCTAAGTTTGGAACAGCATGGTGGGCTCAGGGAGCTCTGGGTGGGGACCAGGGAACCCAGGGTCCCCAAACCTTCCAGTTTTTCAAAAGAAGGGGCCCTACTGGCCACGCGGCGCCCGCTGGGCCCCAGAAACTCCCGCCCGACTTTTGCAACCCCGGCCTCGGCAGAGAGGGGAGGGGGAGTGGGGCTGGGGCCAGCCCGCCGCACTTAACGAGTCTCTGTCCTCCGTCAGCTGCTGCTTCCAGGGCTCGGCGCCGCGCGGCGCCTCCTGCTGCTCCAGACGGATCTCCCGCAGCACCTTCACCATCTGCTAGTACTCCTCATCCTTCATTGAGTCCAGGCCGCTGTCCTAGCGATAGTCCAGCAAGCGCTCCTTCTTGAGTCCGTCCATGGCCCACTCCGGGACGCGCTCAGCGCGGTGCCGGGCGCGCCGTGGTCCTCGCTGTGTGTGGCGCCGGCCTCCTGGCTGTGTGTGTCACTGGCGGGCAGGACGGCCAGCTCGGGCTGTTTTAAGCTCAGCAGTGCCGCCAAGGCTCCCTAAAACCTCTGGCGGGGGAATTCTCCTGGGCGGGGTCAGGCGCGGGGAATTTCCAAGCCAGTCCGACCAGAAAAGAGAATTGGTCTCTTCCTCTGCTCAGCACCTAAACTCCCTGCAATGAGCCAGTGGAGTCATGGGCCGGGGATTTAGCTGGGTGGTTTCCCCACCTGCCTCGCAAGCTCAGGGGTCTGAGTTTGATCCCTGGTAACAAACAAACAAACAAACAAAGGTGGGGGGAATCTTGTTGCCCATGATGTCACTTAGCAGGGCCTCCAGCTGCTGAGCCCTTCCCTCCTCAGGAAGTCTTTTGGGGTAGAATTTGAAGATGGTGGGCCCTGGGCTACTTCTCAGTGCAGAGGAACACGTGGGTGGCCAGGCCTAGGACAGTGGGGTTTAGTCAAGGCCATCACCTGCTGGCTGCTCCTATAACCAGGGCTACTTGTTCCCATTCACGGTACTGTGGCTCAGAAGCTTCAGGTGTGCGGCACAGAGGGCACAAGCCACCTGCCAGGGCTCCTTGAGACCCGAGCTTGGGCCTAGGCTTGCTGGGCAACCTCTAGGCTCCTAGCTGTGGTGGGTGCTGGGGTTCCCTGAGGGGTGGGGAAGGAGGCCAGGTGGGCTGGGTCTGAATCCCAGGTGTGCCAAGAACAAGTCGGCAGCCAGTAATGTCACAAATGCCTGATGCCCATGTCCAGCACCACCCAAGGAGGCATGGTCACTGCCATCTCCCAGCCTCTCTGTCCACTCTGTAATGGCTCTCCCTGCCCTATGGATGAAATTCGGTTCAGATTTGGTCACCTCGCCAGTGCTAGCAAGTACTCAGGGAAGTCTTTCTGCCGCCAATGCCACCACCCCAGGCAGATCATGAGCTTTCCTCTCCCTAGGGGGTCTTTCTGGGAGAGGATGGAGCTTCAAGAGGGACCCCTGCTCTCTTCCTCAGGGTGCACAGGAACTCTTTCTGCCTCTGTGCCATGTGGTTGCAGGATGGTGTTCAGGCCTCACCCTGCACCCTGGCTGCCACATCTTTGCAGGTGTGGGTTGGCATCGCCAGCCTTGTGTCCCCACACTCTAGGAGATGCCCTTCCCTCAGAGAGAGATGGGGACGAAAGCCCCTAGGGGGAACACCCCAGCACATCAGCCTGCCTTTCCTCTGGATCACCAGCCTGCCCCCTCTGCAGGGTGAGTGAGGGGTGAGGGTGAGGGGTGCTGAGTCACACAGCCAGTCCCTGGCCCCTCAGTGCAACCTGCAGAGCTGGTCTTACATGGCATGTGCTGCTCTTGGCAGTTGAGACTTCTCCCCAAACAAAACAGGAAAGCCTCATCCAGCCCATGGAGAGGAGACGTGAGATCCCCACAGCAGGGGGTAAGCCCTTGCTCCCCCCATCACCCAGTTACAGAGCAGGTGCCAGACCCCAGGCTGCCAGAAGCGAGGCCAGGCAAAGAGGGGCTGGGAAGGAGGTGCAGCTGTGGTTGGCAGCAGAAACAATGATTACAAAACCAGGCACATCTGGCTTGAATTGTCAAAGCTTCAGTCTGAAGTGTTAAAAATATCATCCTCCTGCAAATAGAGTGTGTGTTGAGGTTCTGTCAAAGTGAGGGAGCTGCCGAGTGGCCCAGCTGATTAGAAGGGACAGAAACACAGATGCTTGAGAGATCAGAAGTGCATGAACAACACAGGGGAGGGGAGGCCAACAGCGCAGCCCTGCCTGGTGCAGAGGGAGGAAGAGGAGAATTTGCATCTGCGTCCTGTGCTGTTAGCCATGCCTCTGGTTTTGATGACCATGCTACGAACTTCCACTTCCAGGGCATCAGATGCCCTGGCACCCACTGGGCAACACCCTGGCAGCACCTTGGAGGGGCTACCTCTGCTGCTGTGCACCAAGCCCACCCTCGGTGGTGGAGGGCCTTGCGGGTTCTTCAGGGAGGTGGAAGGGGAGACAGGAACAGCTTCCAGATGCTCTGTGATGGGAGATGTTTTTGTGCCACACTTGGGGACACTCAGGGAAAAGCAGAAGCATGGTGGCCAAGTGAGGAGTGCTGGACTTGGAGGCTGGAGCCCATTGGCCTGGCTCATCCTCCCTGGAAAGGCTCCAAACCCTCCTGGCCTCCCTGCTCCTGGCCTCTCCCTGAAGGATTCCTCTTGGCAGGCATTCTTCTACTGTCCACCAGGGGGCAGCAGGCGCCAACCTGTTCACCTCCTGGAGTTTGTTTTTTTTTGTGTGTGTGTTTTTTTTTAATGTTGGGCATTGAACCAACAGCCTTCACACTGAGCTACATCTCTGCTCTTTTTTAATTTTTTATTTTGAAGTAGGGTCTCAGCAAGTTGCCTGGGTGGACTTGAACTTTGGTCCTCCTGTCCCAACCTCCCAAAGCCATTTTAACCTTTTAAGTCAGGGGCTCTGCATTTTGTGACTCAGCCCTTTGCACCTTTGGGACCCAGTGATCTTGCATTTCCAGGCTGCCACCTCTCCCCTGGGATGTACCCTAGCTCCTGAGGCCCAGTGTGAAACACAGGAAGGGCTGAGAGCCTTTCCCTTGCAGGCTGGCCCTCTGCCTTGTGACTCTTCAGGGGTCATTAGGGCTCAGTGTGCTGGGGAGTGGCAGTGGTCTCGTACTAAGTCACCTCAAAGACTTACAGAGGCAGGGGTGTCCCGGAATGCCACTTAGGAAGGCCTTCTGCAGTCCTCTGCAGTGCGCAGATGAGGGACAGCTTAGCAGGGCCAGGGCCTCCTGACTACGCCTGGGGGATTCAGGCTGGGGTGTGCGGGTGCTGTGACCTCATTAACAGCATTGCCCAGGTTGCCCTTGCTCCTGGCCTCCAACCCACAGGCCTCTGAAGTGAAATGAGGAAAGATGGACAAGGGACCTCAGTCAGCCAATACAATCTGTCCCTTCATTCTCTAAAATAATACTGCAGTAGTGAGGAATGTCTTTTCACAAAATTTTTGACACCCTAGATTGTTACTGAAAGATGACATTTTTATGGCCTTTTCCAATTTGAGGGAAAGTTAGGGGTTTATAAAATCCTGAAGACTGTGGAGGCAGACCCTTGCTTGGCCAAGGCTGCGCAGGCAGACTGAGGATGCTTTTGCACTGGTCCTGGCTGGCTGATGGGAACACGTCCAGGCTGGGCCCCGGGAGGACACACAGCCACCTCCTTTGTCCAAGACCCTTCCTGCAGAACATCAAGCTCAGGACTCAGCCCTAGCAGGGACCAGAAAGCTGGGGCTGGGACAGGGAGCAGCAGACAGCTCACAGTCTCTGCTCAACCAAAGGAAGAAGGGCAAGACCAGAAGGGCTCTGCCTGTAGCACAGGCCAGGGTGTGCATAAGTCCAGGAACCCATTGCTCACCTCGGTTTTGAGGAAGAAAGGGACCCAGGAAAAGGATGGATTTGCAGAAACCATGGAACCACCAGCCACCTGGGCAATTGTAGTGAGAGTCCTCGGGCCAGGCAGTAGACTCAGAGTCCGAGGAAGGCATTGTCTCCTGCCCCAGTGCTGACGGATTGCCCCACTCTGAGCACCTCTCACATCCAGAGCAAGGGGACATCTCATGAAAGGAGGGAAATAGGATAAGGAAGAGTATGCTCTGGGCCAGGCAGGTGCTGGTGGCCATGCTGTGCCCTCGGCCAGTCCTGCTAGGTGGGTGCCACCTTCATTCCCACCTTCCAGGTTTGAGGCTTAGAGAAAGAATAGTTCATTCACCCACCCATCCTGCAATCCATCCATCTAGCTATCCTTCAGTCCATCCCATCCCTCCTTTCCTCCTTCCCTCCCTCCATCCACCCATCCAGTACACGTGGATGAAGCAACCACACAAAGCATGGCATAGAGCAGGCCCTGAGGCCCCAGGGCCAGAAAAGAGCCTTCTTCCTCTCCCTCACGAGGCAGACTCCTCCGACTCTCACCCCCAGTCATGACTAGGACTTGCTGTGGCTGGACCGGGCCTGTGCTGGGATTATGGGGTCTTCTGCATCATCTAGGGGAGCAGAGGGTAGAGACCTGGGTGTAGTTCATCCCTTAGCCCCATGGGGATCTCAGACCCTCCACTGAGCTGCCATTGAGCTGCCTGGGCCTAGGAAAATGCCCACATGTGAGGTGGACTCCACCCTCTCCAGCCCAACTCCTGGCTGAGTTGTCTTGGTACTGCCGGGGAAACTGAGGCTGGACTGAGAATGTGAACTGTCTGAGGTCCTGTAGGTCTGGGGACTCCCTGGACTGTGCTCTTTCTTCTGCTTCACACAGCTGTCTCAGCTCGAGACATCTAAAGGGCCCGCTGGAGCTGGGGGCTCCTTCTCAGTACTTGCAGGAGGTGAGGAGCTGGGGGCAGCTGAGCTATTTCCAAGCACTGATCTCACAGGGGAAGTGGTTGAGCAGTTTGAGGAGGCTGATAGGAGCTGTGTGCTGGCTTAGCTCTGTGTGTGTGTGTGTGTGTGTGTGTGTGTGTGTGTGTGTGTGTGTGCAGGCACACGTGCATGCTCACCATCTTCATGTCCTCTGTGCTCGCTGCCCCTGTGTGCTGAAGAGACTGGGTGCTGTTTGTTCTCTTGGCCACATTCTCTGCCACCAGCTGCACAGCCATTAAGTCTGTCACTGGCCACATAGTAGACACTGCTCCACCCTTGGAGGGACAAGCCAAGGTCAGGCTCTGGGGTCAGCCCTCAGATGGACCCTCAGACATAGGGCTAAGGCTTGCAGTGCTCTTAATGCAGATGAAAGGGCAGGTCCAGAGGTTCCTTAAAAAAGGCAGAAGGGTCCTGGTCCCATTTCTTACCAGCCATGTGACTGGGGACAAGCTGCTTGGCCTCTCTGAGCCTTCATTTCCTCATCTCTGAAGCGGGGAGTGATGAGAGCAGAACATTGCTCTTTGAGCTGCTGTGAAATTGAATAAGATGCAGCATTTATCCCAGTATATTTGGCACTCAGCGCACACCTAGTAAATGCTGTGCCTTGGGCTTGAGGCTGAGCCACCCAGCAGCCCACGCTGCCACTGTTTCAG